ACACCTTTTGGTTGGGTAGTTGTTGAATTGGCAACCTTTAATGTATGGACGACACATGGCAGAGCTTGGGAAGGCTTCAAATCACACCAAAACGTACGTTTTACATTAAGGGTAATCTCGGGATTGGGGAAGGCGCCAGGCGCTTAGCTTGAAATTTTTCTGCACAAAAGTGTAATTTCCGTTAGAAATCAACTCTAAATGATGTAAAAACATCCTATGTGCATGTATAACCTAAGATAACTTCAAATGAAAGGTTTTGGATACTATACCAAGCTTACATCATGGTTTCYGAGTTTAAAACGTTAGAAAACAACACACATTTAGCTTATTTTTACCCTTATGAACAAGGGAAATCACACCCCCAAACTTGGCTTTTTGCTTGTCCCCAAGCAAACTTAACAATTTATATCTCTTAAATCACACGCAACAATCATAAGCAACATCAAACATAAGGATAGACTAGACTTGCTTTTCATATGGTGTCTCAGGAAAGATCATCAATACCTCATCGTCTTCCTATCTTCAATAGCCAAATTACCATAAGCCAACAAAGTTCAAAACAATAAAAAGTTTCTTAAAATCCTTTCCTTTTTCAAACCATGAAAACTTTTTGACAACGCTCTAGAATTTGCACGCTTCCCTTTTCACTTAAATTTTAACACTGAAGGAATGGCTACTAGCCTCTGTGGGGATTTCCTCCACAGCTTTGTAGAGGCCTTTCAAGTAACAACCGGTCATAACATATCTACGGTGAGTTGCACGATGTTACACTAGACCCAATTGCTACCCTCGAAGCTGCTTACGCCACTCGACCTAAGCTACAACGAGTGTCTAAAGTGATAAAAATAAAGACATTTTCTTGTCACTCTTTTTTCTTACCTCTCTTCTTTTTCTCTCACAATTTTGAAATCTTTTCCTCACCCTTATTTTCTCACAAGCAAAGAGGACTCTTTTATTTGCAAACTTGTTTTTTTTTCGACTCTTTTTCTTTTTCTTACAAAGACTCTTTTTATATGCATTTTCTTTCTAGTGACCTTTTTTCGCAAAATAATAGCATGTTCTTTCATGAATAAAAAAAAACAACATTTTCTTTCTAAAAGCAAAAGACTGTCCCCCCCAAACTTAAGAGAGACAGTGTCCTCACTAGGAAAAGATTTTTGAAGAGGCAATGCAAAAATCAAAATGAAAGAGAACAAGGACTTCATAAAGCATTGAAAAAGTTTAAGTTTCAAAAAGAAGAAAAGCAAAGAAAACATGTTATTGAAAAGAACTCGGTCACAAATGGCTCATGGCTTTTTAGGACAAAAAGAAAACAAAGTTCATCTAATCCTTAAGAATCATCATCGACATGAAAAATAAGAAAATGCACACCAATATGTTAAATGAGATTAAATTGGCAGCATACTTTGTTTAAGAAATATACATCACTAAGGCCAAGAACGAGATCATGATCGAAACAAAAAGAAACTAAATGGTTATATTTTCATAACGAAACTCAGAAACAATCAGAAAAGCTAACAATAATATTCTGCAAAAAACCTAAACATGCAACTAAATTCAAAAATAATATAACAAGCATAAGAACAAAAAAAAAAAATTCCCTCAAATGAAGAACTGGCCTCATGGATCAAACGGTCACGTCTCAAGGTAGATGATGTGTCCCATCTCTTTTTTTTTTCTTTTCTAAAAAATTAGGGTTTAAGACTTTAGATTAATTAAACAAAAATCCATTTGGAAAAACAGACCAACAAAGATTCAAACAACTCAAAATCCCACCTTTTTTTTATCTTTTAAGAAAGCTTTCTATTTTCTTTTAAAAACTCCTAAATTTGATTAAAAACTAAAAATGATCGCACCCTTCTTTATTCCAAGTCAAAACTAACTCCCAGAATTAAAATCACAATTTTTCGAATTTGTGGATCGGGCCAAGGCGCTAGGCGCCTTGCCTAAAAAAAATTCGAATTTTATAAAATTTCGCTCAAGTAATTTTTTAACACCTTAATCTCAGCCTAAACAACCTAACTACAATTAAAAACAAGTGAAATTCAAAAAGACAATAAGGAAAAGTACTCCTAACTAATTTACACAAAAAACCTTCAAAAGAAATTTTCAATTAAACAAGGAAGGAAAAGTTTTTTTTTCAAACTCTTAACTTCGTGAAAGTTTGATAGAGGTATTCCCTCTATCTATTTCTTCTCCAAAATATTTTTTGACACGTTGGCCATTAAGTTTAAAAATGTTACCTTTAAAATCTTCGAGTTCAATGGCACCGTGAGGCAAAATTTTCGAAATTTTAAATGGTCCAGACCACCTGGACTTTAGTTTTCCCGGAAATAATTTTAAACGAGAGTTGAAAAGTAAAACTAAGTCTCCTACTTGAAAAGATTTAGGCCTAAGCCTCTTATCATGCYATTGCTTAGTTTTTTCTTTAAAAATCTTTGCATTTTCGTAWGAAAAATTCCWATGCTCCTCAAGTTCCATCAGTTGGAGCTTCCTTGATTCTCCTGCAGAAAATAAATCAAAGTTTAGTCTTTTTGTYGCCCAAAAAGCTTTATATTCTAACTCTAACGGTAAATGGCAAGCTTTACCAAAAAGCAACCTATATGGGGACATGCCGAGAGGAGTCTTGTATGCTGTCCTATATGCCCATAGAGAATCGTCCAGTTTTAAAGACCAATMTTTTCTATTTAAATTGACAGTTTTTTCAAAAATAGATTTGATTTCTCTATTAGACACCTCAGCTAACCCATTGGATTGGGGATGATAAGCTGTGGCTATCCTGTGACGGACATTATACTTAGACAACAAACTTCTTACCGCTCTATTCAAAAAATGAGTCCCCTCATCACTTATCAAACATCRAGGGTTTCCATAACGAGTGAAGATATGCTTTTGTAAAAATCKAACAACTACCSTAGCATCATTCGTGGGGGTAGCAASAKCTTCTATCCACTTGGACACATAATCAACARCTAGTAAAATATAATTCTTACCATACGAAGGARGGAAYGGGCCCATGAAATCAATACCCCATACATCAAAAATTTCAACTTCCAGAATGGGGTTCAGAGGCATCTCATTATGTTTAGAAATATTACCTGTCCTCTGACACTTATCACAAACCTGAGCGAAGCTATGTGCATCACGGAATAAAGTGGGCCAGAAGAACCCGCTYTGTAATACCTTCGCTGCGGTCTTTTGTCCAGCRAAATGCCCTCCATATGGAGACATATGACAAGYCTCCAAAATTGCWTTTTGCTCTTCCTCMGCTACACACCTGCGAAGGATTCCGTCAGGACCAAGTTTATAMMAAAAAGGCTCATCCCACCTATAATATCTCACATCATGAAGAAAATTTTTTACCGGTTGTCGACTGAATTCMTGAGGAATAATACGACTTACCAAGTAATTTGCAATGTCAGCATACCAAAGGAYATTTTCAATGCGAAGTAATTGCTCATCAACGAATTGTTCTCRAATCTCTGCTTGACATTCCTGAAGTGGGGACTCGAGCCTAGAYAAGTGGTCGGCTACTTGGTTCTCCGTTCCTTTATGGTCCCTTACT